ATTGTGAAAATACGATTGACTTTAGTGGCCTTAGCACCCTAAATAAAAATAAAGATTTTTATTTTTATTGGCATTTTTGTAAAATCGTAGTTAGAGAGGCTTTAAAGAAAATGAAGTGTTGAAAAGCTGTTGGACCTGATGATATTCCAATAGAGGTGTGGAAATGCTTAGTAGATGAAGGAATTTTTTGGCTTATTAAACTTTTTAATATTATTTTAAAGACTAAAATGATGCCATATGAGTAGAGAATTATGAAGCATAGGTTGAGGCATGATATTAATGTTTCTCAAAATCAAATTGGATTCATGCCGGGTAGGTCTACTATGGAAGCTATACATTTATTGAGATGTTTGATCGAGAAGTATAGAGTGAATATAGAGGATCTACATATGATATTTATTGATTTAGAGAAAGCATATGACAAAGTTCCAAGAGAAGTGTTACGGAAAGTTCTATAAAACAAAGGGGTTAAGAATGCTTATATTTGAGTGATTAAGAATTTTTATGCTGGAGCTGTTACTTTTGTTCAAACACAAGGTGGTTTAACCATGTATTTTCCTATTTCAGTCAAGGTTTTAAAAGGCGAAATCAGGAATCGAGGCATTTTTTTTTAGCGAGGCGAGGCGTAAGCCTTAAAATGATTAAAATCAGGTAATTTAAAATTATAAATAATGACAAAAAATAATAATAGAATATTATGTCAATTATGAATTTGAAGATTTATTCTAAGATAATATTACTGGATTACAAGATATAAAATAAACTCACTTAAAAATAAAATACCCCCTTAGGATCAAGACCCAATGCAGGCTCATCTTCATTTTGATTATCTTCAGAAGAATCATCATAATTAATGTCAAAGTCATCCTCAATCCCTTTTTCATCTATAATATTTTTTTCTTTATCCCCTATATCAGTTAATATTTCATTAGCTCTAGAATGAATAAATAATAATATAAAAAATAAATAATTATATTTAAGAATACCTTTGAATTTTTTTGAAGCTCCAATCTCACTTTGCTTTTTTCTTTTATATACTTGGGTAGTTGCTTCAATGTTTTCATTGACATGAGTTTCTTCTTCTGCTACAACTTATGGAACATCAATATTCTTAGGAGTAATCCATTCATCATCAGATTGTAAATCATCAG